TCTTACGCCGCTTCACGTAAAACGAGTTGTGAAACTCCAATGTTCAATTACTAGGCATGTATTCACTCTGTATAATATCACATATACCCATGAGTATCCGGCAGTTAGCCGCTACCATCACAAGTCAATATGGAGGGGTATCTCTTGCTACACTAATGCGCCCCCCTCCTTACCTTCACTTTCAACTTAGTCTCATCAGGCCTGACCAGAGACCTCAGCCCAGGTGCCCCCGCCCCCAACTGTTGCTGCATCGCGATCAGCCTATCCCACTGCCTCACCCCTTCCCACCACGACGACGATGACGACTTAGTCGCAACAACCGTCGGAGCAGTACTAACTCCTCCTTTATCACTACTCCCAATAGCAATAAGCTCCGAGAAAAGAGCCCGGTCGTACAACACCACCAACTTGGCCGCTGTGAGGACCGCTTCTTTCGGGTCAAGGCTTATCACCAACAGGTCCTCATCAGAACCCGGCGACTCCGCCTCACGTTTTATGATATCAAACTAACAATGACAAACATATCCCCATATGCAAATCTCCCATCCCTACCTTCCTCCCAGCTTTCCTTGCCACTACCTCCACACCTCCCAAGCTCGCCTTGAGTCGATACTCCTTACCCGACACCGTGCACGTGACCGACACGTCGTGAAGGCTGCCGAGACTGTATACATTCCGACTTGGGTCCAGTCTGATACTAGCCAGCCTCATGTACAGAGACACTATTATTGACTCCGACTCTGGCACTAGCAGCGTCGACGCCAACGCAGTGTATGATTCTGATAAGAGGGCAAGACTAGAAGCCAGTGTTATGGAGTTCCACCCTAACACTAGTGAAAAACATATTTCCCTTCGCGAAAAACATGTTTTACGTGATATGAGATGATTTTTCAAGTGTATTTCGCCAAGTATTTCCATGTTGCGAATATCGCGTCTTCCACAAAAACTGGTGAAACTCCAATGAACAACACCAGGACTCACCCTGAATGCTTTTCCCTACTTCCTCATCACTCTTCTTCCCAGTGTCCTCCACCTCTGGTTTAACACCCCAGAACCACGCGACCCACCCTTGCCCTGATCACAACAGTGTTGAAACATATGCGTTCGCTCTCTCTCTGAGCTAAGATGAGTTTCCTCAACAACTGTAGAGTTCCTTAAGAAGTGTAGAAACACCAATGAGAATTCCCCCACCAGATGGAGTTGAGCATGTGCATATTTTCTCACACTGTATCACAGCGTCTGACACAACATGAGCGTCCGCCCCCGTCCACTTCTACCTTGGGCGGCTTTGGTTTGTCGAGCCTCTCGAGCGAGCCGGGCACCAACTATCTGACGGTATACTCAGTGACGCGAGTTGGCGAAGGAGTGGTATGAGCCTTACTTCCATTCTCCATCTCACAAGGTCCTCCGACCTCAACTCAACCTCAAGATTCCCTTCACTGTCATTATGCGGATCTATACAGGTCGAGATGGGACCAATAATACTCACAGCGCCAATGTGGGCATCATCACCACCAGCTCGTGACCGTGCCAACGACGCAAATGGCGTATCTAAGGTTCACCAACTAAGATACGAATCAGGTCCGATGAAAGCCCATTACCTTCCGAACTGCTTGTACCATCATCATCCTCCTCTGCAGAGACCTCCTCGAATGCTTCACTGTCCTCACTACTCTCAGGTGATTCACTCAAAATGTCGCTTCGCTCCGCCTCCTCCTGTTGTTTATGATTCTTCTTTTCAGCCCGATAGAGAGACGCGTTATACTTCTTCTGCTGCACTAACCTCAGCAGATTCTCATCCGTGAAAACCTCCCCCAACAACCTCGACAAAAAACCCAGTCAGCTCTCGGAAACAACATCGTCGGAGAGGCACCTCGGCATTCCACTTTGTTGTCCCAATTCCTGCCTAGTCTGCCTTATATCCCTCACCACACATCCAATAGCATATCGCCACATCCTCCTCGCTGTATCTGTCACGAACACACGCAGGTTCGAATCCCACACCCGTCATTTCTCCGCATTTATTTCCCAATCTATCCCCACGACTCCCTCTATCAACAGACCCTCCCGTTTCTCGTTGAGCCATTCGCAATCCCTGGAGTCGGCAGTTGTATGTTAAAGGGCGATAGACCGCTAGGCCCGTAATACTCGGCAACAGATCTACCCACACCCTCTCCCTGAGCCCCTACCTCGCCGCGTCCCTTCCCCCCTCAGTGGTCGCCATGGCCACACATACCGGACTCGCCGCTCTATAGCGCTCCTGTAGGCATTGTAATCGGAGAATAGTGAAGCTGTGCGAATCATACCCGAGTACCTTAACGATGATAAAAGTAAATATACATGAATCGCTTCGCTCCGCCGTCTTATATTATTACTGAGACTTAGTCAGTTTGATCGATACCACATCCAACGCCCCTGTGAGTTGAATTTTCGGCACGAATTCAGGATCATCCGGACGTAGCCTTTTCGCTACTGGCGTTCGTACCATTCGCAGCGACCCCGATACTGGCTCAATCTGACGACGACTAACCATCCAACGACCCAGGTTCGACCCCGGCATCCTGCACTTACAATATATTCCCTCTGGTTAAGTCCTTCCTCATCATCATCGCCTGCACCATCCTCCTCCATACTAATGAAGCTACTCGTGTCAAATGATACCCTCGACGAGGATGGGCCTCTCGGGCGGGCTGGAGTAGACTCAGCCTTCCTTATAATCAGTGGATTCCAATACGCCGCCAGCCGCTCAAGCCGTACCAACTTATACCTACATCATTTACCATCGAAGCGTTGATGGCGAAGAATATGTCGTAAACCCCCTCGTCTACAGTTGACGCCTTCACAGCCACACTCACTTATTGTACACCAAATTTTATCCCCTCGTAAGGAGCGCACATATGATGACTATCATCATCATCACATACACATGTCAAGAAAACTATTTCTCACACACAAAGAGCTGAGCGCCGATCCTATATAGCAATGGTCGACCAGAGACACAGACTTCTCTCCCATCACTACAGTTTAGTATCATCCTGCCTCACACCGCTCTCTGGTGGAGGGGCGTTCCTATCTACGAACACTGGCGACCAAGAGGCATCCGTAGTAGTCATGGTAAAGCCTTTAAGAGTTATACCACAAGCTCCACCTGAGGGAAGTATTCATTTCGAGCCATAAATCCCCATCATGGATTTGAACCAACGACCTTCAGCATGATAGCACAGTCCACTACCCATCTCACCAGTTGTGCGCTCAGCATTACTATAGGCATAGCGTATGTGTATATTAGATACCCTCAGCTCCACATTCTCCGCCATTTTCCGACATACCGATGCTATATACCTGCAATAAACCTACTTCGCCACAGCGGAGCGAAAGCCTTGAAATGATAATCACCAGGAGAGACCAGCCTAAACAGTTCGTCTTCTCCTAATGCGAATTCCCATATTCAACTTATCGTCAATATTACTTTCATAGTCAAGTCACTTCAGGTCTAGGCTCACTTCACTCGAGTGAGCTCAAAAGCAGATAAGACAATCGATACAATTGGCATCTACCAATTCGACTCGAACCACCTTCATTCAGCACAGTGTACCCGACCTATCGTGAACCCATAATAGCACCTTCCCCCCCCTTTATCACTACCCTTCCTTGATATTCTCCTTCTTATTACTGCTGCCTCCTTTATCTACATTATCACCCTCATTCTCATCGAAGACCTCCTGTTGGGCCATAACTTCACATTGCATATCCACAGCTGTCGCCAGCTTAGCACGAGATGCCTTCAATCGGGCTACCTCGTATCTGAAAACATCAAAAACTCCCCCCCCCCCCCATATCAGCCATCACTGTGTATCAACAGACATGCGCAGTGAAATATACCCCCTGAGAATCTAAGGTCTCCACATATTAAACAATATCTAATAAGTCTGATGTGAAGGCTGATGATAAGGCGTCGTATATAGTGCCGTATAAGAATAGAGACTAAATATGTGTGCTTTCAAAATATAGTGGTCACATATCACCATAGAGATTGTTTGATTGGTTAAGGTTGATGAACGTGTCACTTGTGACTCGTATAACCTACCATGTCGAACGTGTATAATTCTGTTTCCACATTTCACCATAGAGATTGCGCACTCTGTACCGTTTACCCTTCCTTTGGCTCACCACTAAGGAAGACTTTCAGCCACGAGTATGGTTGGAATTTCGATATGCCACGATGAGCCTCAATAAACAGTCATACAATGCTTCTATAAACATACCACTGCTACTCCACATCCTCACTACTATCCTTATACATAATAACAAAGTAATGAAATAAAACCTCGAAAATTTATACACAACTTCAAATTACTAGCGATATGGTTGATAAGTAAATGCACCCCTTTCCGAATCACTTTTGGCTCCATTCCTCTCTACGTTTCGGCTCCACCACGAAATAGAGATCCTCCAGCTCGATCACCACGGGCGATGACCCTAGTCTATTCCAGGGTACCTGAACTCACTCAAGCTCCCCTTCGCAGGATGGGAAAATATGATTATGGTCAACAACGATATATAAAGATTTTGAGGAAATTTTACAGCTAGCTTTTGTACACTTCCTTGAACTGAGGTAACTCCTGCTGAAGTCCAGCTGATTCCAAAAGTGGCTAAACATGAGCTCACATAGACGTGCAGACTGCCGAGTTTGCCGTGTATGAGTTTCACGGGGAGATGTAACATGTCAACTGCTTCCTGTTTAAAGTCGACATTCTGCAGATGTACGTGGCCACTGTAGACCCCTATACTGAGGTTCTTTCGATCAAGACCATCGAAGTAGTCCCCGAGGTACTGTGATAAGTACCGACTCACGATACCCTCGAACATGAAGGGAAGGGGAGAGTGTCAGAGAATAAATCAAAAAAAGGGAATGAACAACTTCCAAGAGATGACCTATTATAAAACGACTTGAACCCAACAGCAGAGGATATCACCATGGTGTGGTATGGGAAACAAAACCATACATGGTTGAGAACACTTCACACAGGGCCTATCTAGTAAGAGGGACTACACAGCACATAAATTGCCCGCCTCGAAAACTCTCCTCTTTTCACCACTGCGCTGACAGTATCACTTCCGTCTCAAGACGGCGGACTATGTGAAGCACACTACTGAGTAGTTTCAAAAAGCGCTGTGATTAGCGCGCGCCAAATATTATCAAGTGCATTCACGAAGAAGATGTCTTTTGGCGTAATGGTTAGTAGTCTCGCTTGGCTCACGGAACACCCGGGTTCGAATCTTGGCAGCTCGCATTTGCGAGTAGTGGGCGAATTTTTCACTCACTCTACTGCGGAGTTGCTCCGCAGAAGAATAAGTCGCCATAAGGAAAGTTGAGAGTGTGCGTCCAAGTGTTTGCGCCATCGTCAATAGCACTATGGTTAAGATTTCCGCGATGTATTTCTCCTTCGTATATAGGAATACATTCCACGATCTACCTTCGTATGGATGACCTCCTCACCGCACCACATACTCAGTTTCCTCCTGTATTTTGCCCTTTGTGAAATCGAACTTTGTCTTGGTGAGAATAGCTGTTGAGCCTTCTCGCAATCACAGTAGTTGGATAGTGTGTGTTTTAAATGGGAAAGCCACATACAACCGTACAGAAAGCCATAGGCATACACACTAACGGCAAGGGGGTGGCGGAGTGCAGATTGGGCGACCTTGGAGTGTATCATTGAAACCCTTATATTTGGATAACGCACGAAATTGTACACACTTTCGCGCGAGTCACTTTCCAGGGCGAAAAACAGTAGAAATGCTCAATAAAACGACTTCCAATCAGGGAAACTCATTTGCCAATTTTTGCATCAGAATGTCAGCGTTAAAATGTCAAGGAAAAGGAGGCAACTTTCGTAAGGCAATTCCCAACCCATGGGAAGGGAAGAGCCTCGACGTTCCTCAGGCACGACGTGCTCTAATTGTGGTGTATCTTTACTGAAGGACGAAGGCCACATCAGATGCAGTGACAAGGACTACTGTGGGACGTGCTTCGCAACATCAGGTGAGGGGGAGGGGCCCGGGATCGAACCATGGACCTTTCGGATGACAGTCTCCTCAGACGCCCACCAGCAAGATCCATATTGTGTGATACCTCCGCTTAACTTTGTAACATCTCGAGACTCACAGCCTTTACGAGGTGGTAGTTGCAGTAGCTTCCCCTTCGCTGCTTAGTATTCACACATCTAAGATACCACCCAAGTCGATCCCTCGTCCGATGAATCATCCCCATGGACAGTCGTGGATACACTGGCCTTGCTAGACGCCGTGGCAAAGGTGAACTACTCATACCACACCTTGAGCACATCAGACCTTGGCTAGGTTGGCGTTGGGTCATGGGACGATGTGTTGGCACGCATGCGGCAAGCTGGAGCGGACTCGGAAAAGGAGATCACTCCAGCACAATGTCGATCACGGTTTATGCAACTGTAACACCTTCAATTTTTCCAGCCCTTTCATCGTCCGTCCTCATGTAGTACTCTGCATGGGAGGCATCCCCGTCGACTAGGAAGGCCGCCTCCGACGACTCCATA